CATGTTACATACATACACTTTGAACACTCTCACGACACCGCGCTGGTTCGACTCTGCCAGTCACTGTCACTGCTGAACAGTCACTGCTGCTGTGGCAGTCGTCGCTGTCGACATCACTGCTGTCGGCGTCGTCGTCACGACGTAGCTGATTCTCTCTCTCTCTCTCTCTCTCTCTCTCTCTCTCCTCTCTCTCTCTCTCTCTCTCTCTCTCTCTCTCTCTCTCTCTCTCTCTCTCTCTCTCTCTCTCTCTCTCTCTCTCTCTCTCTCTCTCTCTCTCTCTCTCTCTCTCTCTCTCTCTCTCTCTCTCTCTCTCTCTCTCTCTCTCTCTCTCTCTCTCTCTCTCTCTCTCTCTCTCTCTCTCTCTCTCTCTCTCTCTCTCTCTCTCTCTCTCTCTCTCTCTCTCTCTCTCTCTCTCTCTCTCTCTCTCTCTCTCTCTCTCTCTCTCTCTCTCTCTCTCTCTCTCTCTCTCTCTCTCTCTCTCTCTCTCTCTCTCTCTCTCTCTCTCTCTCTCTCTCTCTCTCTCTCTCTCTCTCTCTCTCTCTCTCTCTCTCTCTCTCTCTCTCTCTCTCTCTCTCTCTCTCTCTCTCTCTCTCTCTCTCTCTCTCTCTCTCTCCTCTCTCTCTCTCTCTCTCTCTCTCTCTCTCTCTCTCTCTCTCTCTCTCTCTCTCTCTCTCTCTCTCTCTCTCTCTCTCTCTCTCTCTCTCTCTCTCTCTCTCTCTCTCTCTCTCTCTCTCTCTCTCTCTCTCTCTCTCTCTCTCTCTCTCTCTCTCTCTCTCTCTCTCTCTCTCTCTCTCTCTCTCTCTCTCTCTCTCTCTCTCTCTCTCTCTCTCTCTCTCTTTGGCTTCAGTCGCTGCTGCTGCTGCTGCTGCTGCTGCTGCTGCTGCTGCGGCCGTCGTCGCTCTCGGCATCACTGTTGTCGCTGCTGCCGTTGCCGTCGTCAGCCGCCGCCGTGGCGCGTGAAGCCTCGGCTCTGCCAGCAGAGCCAGGTCTGCGGCTGCAGCTGCCCGTGGTATATAGGGCCTTGCTGCCCGTGCCGGTTTGCGTAGAGGCGTCTGCGGCGCTGCAGACCCAGGCTGCTGAGCAGCGGGTCGCTCGCCACGAGCAGGTAGCCCAGGAGGTCCGACATCGTGTGGATCCTGGAATCCTTGCGGGTGTGTCGAAGGCGGTACTGGCGGACCCGCTTCTGGGTAGCCTCTGCTGCTTCCTCAGACATCATACCGATCGGGAGGTGGCAAGACTCCACCACGAGTGGCTCAGCAGCTTGTGCAGCGTGGTGGACATGGGGTGGTGGCTGTACCTCTCCACGTACAGCTCAGCCGTGCGGCGGCGGTACGCGGAGAGAGCGTCGATGTCCAGTCGGTGCAGACAGCTGACAGCCTGCAGCACCGTGCCGACCCGGTTGGACGTCGTTGTCGTTGGATTTGCCGCTGCCTCCTGCCCGCGGCTCGTCCACGCGCAGCCCCATCCTGGTCCTGAAGGCCTCCTGCACCTCAGCCTTGCGCTGTTGGCGGCGCTCTTTGCTGTCTTCTTACAGAGGGAGTCGGTAGCTGAGGTGCAGGAGGCAGTCGAAGCTCCGCAGCCAGCAGTGGAGCGTGCTCAGCCCGTACTGTTGGTTGGTGACGGGCTGTGCGGCGACGGCAGTCATGTCGTTGAACTTCCTCAGCGTTAGGCCGCACATACTGCAACGCTGAGACGATGCCGTGCCGGTGGCGACGTTCACCATCTTCCCGTCCACCTGCCGAACAGAGTGAAGCGTAGTTAACGACATGTGTGAGTGATGATTGAGTTTAACGCCTATATCAGCACCAGCTGCAACGTTTTCAAGATGTTGTCGGAAATCCTCCTTACATCAATGACAACAAATCGTTCGGTATAGCAGCTACAAATATAATGAAGTAAGAGCAATAAAATGTGCAATACTCAATGATTGCTTACCATGGTCATCGCCAGCTCGTAGCGGACGACTGCCGTCGGCGTGCTGAGCGGCTGGAGGGCGCTGATCTCGGCGCCGACCCGCTGCAGCTCCTCCTGGCTGACCGCCTTGGTCTCGGTGGCCAGCTGCAGACGGATCGGCCGACAGAAGCGGGTGGAGCTCGGTGCTGGATTCCGCCAGATCACTTCGCCAACCCCTGTCTCCAGCTGCAGCGGCACGAGGGTCGTCACCAGCATTCGGTCATCTTGTTGGACGCCGGCCTGCTTACTCTGACTGTGGCCAGTGGAGCCGTCGATTCCCCACTTACAATGGAGTACGAGCTGGATTGGCAACCTCCCTGGCAGGCTGTCCAGGACCGGCTTCTGAAGCTGCAGCAGTCTGGTCGTCGTCTTGTCCAACAGCGGCTGTAGATCCACCTGCGCCTGGTCAGGCAGCACTGTGAAGGCAGACGCCGGCGGCAAGCACTCCGCCTTCGCCTTCGCCACCCGCTTGTAGGCCGGGTACAACTTGCAGCCGTGCTCCTCAGCAGTCAGCCGCATGTTGCTGTACTGGGCCTTGGTCAGGTCCAGGTCCACTGTTACCGCCAGCGCCTCTTATGTGGTTAAGCTGTGGTGCGGCTCGGGTGTCTCAGCCGCCCTGCTCACCAGCAGACCGCCCCGCCCGGGAGAGCCGGCTCCCTCCAGGAGCCGTGCCGCCCGGCGCCGTCCCTCCTGGTGCACGGCGGAGGCGGCGGAAAACACCAGCTCGGGAGTCGTGGCTGAGCGGCGCAGCTCGGCCGTCGCCTGCTGCTTCGCCCTCCGGCTCTTCTCCCTGAATGGCAGAGCAGGCCGGCCGCGGCTCCCTCCGGGCGTGTCGACGTTCTTCGCTGCCTCCTGGCAAACTGGGATATCCAGGCATTCCACAACATGGAGCCACTTGTCGTTATTCTCTTCAAACCTTGCCTTGATCCGTCTGCACGCCTTCCATCGGGCACGTAGCTTCGGCAAAAAAGACTGCTGCAGTTTCACAGAAGCATCCTTTATTGACGGGTTGTCATCCCCAAAAGTAGAAGCCAAAAATTGGCTTAGATCTACGAGACCACTAGCAAATAATGCGTTCCGCTCAAATAAATATAAATATAACGATCTGCGCTGCAAACACATGATCGAAAGTGAAACTGCATCAAGATAACCGTTCTCAAAGCAGTACGGGGCAGGAATGATCAGGTACCAATCATCGAAATCATCGTGGCCAAAGAGGACTTATTTCATACTCTCGAAATAGGTTGCGATACATTTGCCACTCAATGACTAGCTGACACACATCCTGACCCATAATAACAGGCTCGATGATTGGCTGCTGTAGACAGTGACATCACTCAATGGGCGGGACTAAAAACCACACGTCATTCCGGATCCTGTCGGGTCACGCACCGTCCGCCCCCAGGTCAGGTCACGGCGCGCGGCTGGGTCATGACCGAGCGGCGTGCCGTCGGTCATGTTTAAACTCGAGCTACCGGTGAGGCGAGCAAGTCCGAGCAGGAATAAAAGGTCGGACCAAGTCAAAAAATGCTGGCAAATTGCAATCATGCTAGATCTGACGTGGCGGCAAACGGCGGTAGTTGTTGAAATCTTCGGTTTTCATGAAACATCGTTATGAAAACGCTATGCATGTATTGGTTTGATTCTATCAGTGGTAACGTACAGACGATAGGTCAGCCAGTATTGCAAGTTATCCTATCGTTTTTTAGAGACATTGGGAAGAACAATGGTGTATGATATATATCAATTCAATATGTATTTAACTATGTAAATTTGCGTTACAAAAGTCGCGTTCTCGCCCGCAAATCGGCAGGATATGAGAAAGCCAACAATTTGTCCACTTTGAGTAGTCAAATCACCCCCTAAAAGTTGCCATATGTGCAAAATTCAGGTGTTTTTTTATAAAATTCAGGCAATTTCCTATATATTCAGCCATGTTTCAAGCAGATTTTCGAAAGTCACTTTCTTGATTAAATTCGCCCTAAACTGGCGCGCGGCTCGTCCGTGCGCCGCAGCCCATGCTGCGGTACTTTCAAGACAAACTGTACGTACACTGCAGATCAGTCATCGACTTGGTTTCATTTTAACAAATGACAGCATTTCACAGCGATTGTAAAGGCAGAGGCACAGCGCTTAATCGTCACGTTGTTTCTCTTTTCTTTTTTTATGGCGTTATGTTTCGCCAAGGCCCTAAAACATAACAAAACGTTGGGCTGAACACATCTAATGTATTTTTGTTGTTGTTTAATCAAGAATCATATCTCTGTCAAAGGTTACGGTAAAACAAAAAACTGCTGGAGACCATTCTTGACCTGAAATGACCTTAGGGACATAAAGAGGGGTCACGGGTGCAATGCTGCGCCTCTTGGGGCACCATATGCGATGAGATCGATGCGTGGCGACTGGCGTACACCTCGCTGTTTCTGCCTTTGAACAATTTTTGTCTGCTTTATCTGCTAAAAACACAATAAACACATTATCGAGCGTAGAAGCATGACACTTTTGTTACGTACAAGCTTTGTTCAGTTTGTCTGTAAGCACCATCAAATATCGCAAGCTTCAAGGGGTCAATGCCCTGGGGCTGTGACGTCACGCTGGGGATCGTGACGTCAGCCGTGGGGTTGCCAGTCTAGTATGAACTAGACTTCGACCCCCCCTGTGTTTCGCAGGCAGGCAAAGACCCGCAAATACCTAACGGGTATTAGCGGACAAATTGCGCTGGCATTCACAGCATCGGGGAAATTTTACATGTTTTTCTTTACCTTCTCCTTTCCACCTTTTACAAATGCAAGTATTTAATTTGAAATAAGCTGCTTAACTTGTAGTTAGAATCATAAGTTCATATAAACTTTGCAGTGTGTACATTATTTAGGACCTATGCACATCTTCTCCGTGAGCTGTAACCTCTCATCTCTATTTTAGTCTCTCTCCAAAAATACTAATATTAAACTAATCGTCAAGCTCGCCCACGGCCGAGCTCCCTACAGATTCAACACCAGACTAGCCATGTCCAGTTAGCCTTCAATGCCTTCAGCTCCACGATCAAGATGAAGTTTTTTGTTTCCGCCGGCCAGACGATTCCTGTCCTGCTGCTCTTCTGTTACGGCGCCTCATCACAAACCTCGCTGAAGTCAAATGGGGCTCATGAAAACACCTCCGACGACCTGGACGGCACGGGACTCTCCGAGGCACTGGCGCAGTGTCTGGCCCAGACTGGACAGGTGGCCCAGTTGGCTAGTCAGCTGACCAATCTCCAGACCGAACTGAGCGCTCAGACGTCGGCGCTGGCGTCACAGCTCTCGGAACAAGGTGTTGAGCTCACCGAGTTCGGGTCCGCTTTGATCTCGGGTCTCATTGACATCATGGAAAACCTGCCGGGTGGACAGCTCAGCACCGCAGGACTGACCGCTCTCCGGAGCCAGCTGCGGCAAGCAGCGGCCACTCCGCCGAGGGACTGCAGTGACCTGCCGGCCGGCACCACCAGCGGCGTGCACACCCTGTACCCGGGCCGAGACGGACCCGTGGCCGCGCTCTGTGACATGGACCTGGACGGCGGCAACTGGACCGTATTCCAGAGGCGCGACGATATCCAGCCCCGACAGGACTTTTACCTCGGGTGGCTCGACTACAAGTGGGGCTTCGGTGAGCTGGACGGCGAGTTCTGGTGGGGTCTGGAGCGGCTCTGGGGACTGACCTCCCAGCTGGACCGGCGCTACGAGCTACGAATAGATTTGACAGATTTTAACGGCGACAAGCGTCACGCCGTTTACCAGGGCTTCCGGATCGCGCCCGAGGCGGACAACTACCGTCTGACTGCCGTCAACTACACGGGTGACGCCGGAGACAGTCTCGCTTTAAACAACGGAAGACCGTTCGCCACTAAAGACAAAGAAGATAATATGGTGGGCAGTCTCTGCGCCCAGAAATTTCAAGGTGGCTGGTGGTTTTCCCCGAAATCCCGCGGTCCCTTTGGACACTCTTCCAACTTGAACGGAAAATACCTGATGGGAAAACACAGTAACATGGGTGGCGGCGTCTTTTGGCATGACTGGAAGGGAGCCTACTATTCTCTGAAAGCGGTCACAATGCAAATTCGGCCAACCAAAAAACTTTAATTGGTTCCAGTGAATCCACCTGCCAAGTATGTATACATTTTTTTACCAACGAGATTGAGTTTGGCGTAAAGATAGTAGCTGCTTTTACGTCACATTTTCCCCTTTCAACTGGACTACGGTAAAAAGTAAATACACCAAATGTTTCTCTCGTGTTGATGGAACTTGTACACTATAGTAAGATTTTTAAACCTGTGCGATGGTTTAAAGCGCACAACTGAAAACGGCACGGGACGGGCATTAGGAGTGAACAGAAAGTCAAAATAGAAAATCGAGGGAAATGTTTTTTCGGCTGGTCAATGTGAAAAGTAGAAAGAACTGAGACTTCATGTGAGCGTTTCACCGAAGGTCCCGAGGGAAAAGATGGCACGTGTGCTGATAATTTTTCATCTTCCCGGCAAATGCATGCATAATTTCGTTACGGAGCGAGCGAAGCGAGCGGAGTCTCATACTGAATTAAGGGAAAATCCTGAGTATGAGCGGCCGGCCGGCCGTGGGGACGCTCTTCAAAAGCTAATATCTTAGGAACGGGACATCCGATTGACAAGCGGTCTTCTTTACTGAATGTCACTTGGACGTAAAAGTTATGTGGTGTGATGGCCACCATGCCTTCTTGCCAACTACCGCACGTGGCGCGTGGTAAAGTTGGACATTTTTTAAGAACCCCCAAAATTGCAACCTCAATAACGGCACAACGGTTGGGCCGATTGAATTGAAACTCGGTACACAGTTAGGTCTCCATCAGATAATTCATCTGCATGTGTTAAGGTTGGGGTGCTACAGCACGTGCGCACGTGCAGGGGGCGCTCCCAGATCTCGAGAACGGCCTGGCCGATTGCGCTCAAATTTGGTACACGGTTGGGGACCAGTTAGTAGGGTGCCGTGCAAAAGTCAGTTTGGACCCCGCTTGCACGTGCGCACGTGCAGTGTGCCGCTTCCAGATCTCGAGAACGACTAGGCCGATTGCGCTGAAATTTGGCACATCGCTAAAGACCGATTAGTAGGGTGCAGTGCACAAGTTAGTTGGAGGTGCCCCCTCGCAATTTCGCACGTGCAAGGCCCATCCTCTCGCTCGCTCCGTTGGTCGCCCAAAAGGCGTTTTACTGGTTTCTTAAGCCTGAAACAGACTCTTCCCGCAGTCAGGAAATTGCATGCGAGAGCCTATTCAAATACATGGAAGCACGCTCGCATCCAGGGCCGCATCAATCGCACGCACCTCCCGCAAGCGCTTGATGCGAGAAGAATTAGGTATAATGTATTTGAATGGGCTCTCGCATGCGATTTCCTGAACGCGGAAAGAGTCTGTTTCAGCCTTAACACACTATTAGTTGCTATAAATTCTTTAATTCTTTAATTCTATAAACTAAAAAAAAAAAACAGTTGACCTTGTCCCGGCCGCGTATTCGCCAAGTGTATTACACGAATCGGCCCACCAACTACGACATCTCTAGTGCGACGTCATAGCCAGTCAAAGCCACCCGACGCGACAATGCATGCATTGAGGCTAGATTTGAGTTGAGACTTTTTCCAATGGTAGGTATATGGCTAATAGACAATATTTTTGTTTTGTTGGGTTAGGCCCTTTCGGTCGACAAGACCATTGCAGAGCCGGAAGGATGATAGGAATTAGGGGGAGACATTGGTCTGGGCAGGCACCCTAGTGAGTCGCCGGGGCTGAGCCCGTCCAGAGGACAGGCCACCCAGCCCCAAGGCACTCACTGCACCCGGCTACGGGGTGCGCTCCCTCAGGAGCAGCGGTGCCGCTCCAAGGGAGCAGCCCGCATGAGATAAAGTTGCCTGTCCAGCCCGGAGGGGGGTTGCGGCTTGGAGGAGAAGGATTTCAGTATCCTGAGGATAGAAGCACGGATAGGTGATAGACAATAGTTCTCCCGTGTGTCGTCGTAGCCGAGTGGTTAGAGTCTCGGTCTGGTAAACGAAAGTTCATGAATCATGATTATCTGATGTTACGCCACAGCCCACATTCCTAAATTTAGTCAGGTGTTGTTATGACCTATAACCTGGGTTCAAATGTTCAAGCTATGTGGACTTTAGAATATGCCAAAATATAGACGATCCGTTGCGTCTCGATGACTGAAAGACAGGATTCTTTGTTTGCATATTTGTTAATGAACAGTTAGCGAACAACGTTTGTCTGTTTATTTGATAGATATGAATTCCTCCACTCAAAGTCATCTGTTCACGAACAAATGTCTGTTCACGTACCTACAGTTCATGAACGTTCATTATTTTTATACGAACAAGTCATTATTTCTGATACCCTTTGCATTATGGTTCTGATGCGGTCACATCAACGGTCATGGGCGTGGGAAACTCACAAATGCATACACATACACATACATACACGAATACATGTCGAGTTTGTTGGCATTTATCGATCATGGGAAACGTTTTTAATCGGAATGCTGTCCCAAGGTCAGCAGTAAGTTCTCAGCCATATATGCATACATGATTGTCAATTTTCGTCGTCAAAAGCCTTATAATAAAAACAATGAGTGTCTGAAAGACAAAGAGACCGCGTGATATGGGTATGTCATAGAAAAAGCTGAAGTCAACTGACAGGCCACGAGCATGGCCAAAGGTTTCCCTTACATGGAAAAGGTCGTAAAATATCAGACATATCATACAGTTGTCTTTGTTGGTTCCCTCCCGTCATTACTCCCGGAGTCCACCTGAAGCGATAGCCAAGGGTGGCCAAGGCTTCATTAACCCGCGCCACACTGGGGTCTGCGTATAACACGCCCTACGGGGGGGGGGGGGCTATTCATAGTCCCCCTCCTAACTCCGAAACTACTGGGCCGATCGTCAAAATTCAAACGGTGTCTGATAGCACCGGAAAAACTGTCGAGCGAAACCTAATTTCATTGACCTCGAGGTCACCGATGACGTCACAGGTCAGGTCAAAGTAAAAATTATTAGCATTTTGGCTTGTTCACGTTTTGGGGTCTGGCCGCCGTCTTACAAGTCAGAGCAGGCTCATTTTTGGTTCACACACTCGTGAACAGATGCTCTAGATACCCTGAGGGTACCAAACTTGTACTTTGATTTTCAGGTCAAGGTCAGGTCATCGCAGGTCACGAAAATATTATATCATGCGTCGGTCACGTGACACATGTTTTATGGTCCATTTAGGCCAAAGATTTCGAACTTGATGTCGTCTGTGTCATTTGAGGTCATTTTGAGTCGAATTTAGCTTAGGTCAGGTCACTTTCAGGTCAAAAAAGGTCAAATTTTGAAGTTATAATTTTTCAACAGAAATGGTGTCTATGGGATGCAGTTTGAGCTCAGAAACACGATGGTGCTATATATATTGGCGTACGATGTCAAATACGTGGTGAAAAATTAATTTGAAAAATTAATAATTGTGAATTTTTTGCAATAATGCGTATAACTTGGCCATTTTTGAAGATATTTAGCTAAAACTTGCTAGAGTTAGTTATAATAACGCGTTCTATCACATATATTCCGTTATTTTTCGAAAAGTCAAAAACTTTTTGAAAATTATTATGCAAAATTTAAATTTAAAAATTAAAAATGCAAATTTTGAATTTTATTATATACAATTTTCGAAATCTTCAAAATTTCGAAAATCCGAGATAGCATTTTGATAGCGCAGCCTATTCTGAGTCCTCTCATGCAAAGAAATTGGATCTAGCTTAAAAACTGAGCCCTTGGGAGCGATTGCCGTGGTTCAATGTTTTGCGTCGAAATCGGCCGAACATGACGTCACTCTGACGTCATTGCCGGCCGACCTATGGTAGCTACGAAGTTCAAAGTTCGACACAAGGTGTCAAATTGATGCAGCCGAAGGTACTGAAAGTTTGTCGTCGATACGTCAAGCGGTTTGGAAGTTATTGCAGAAAAACGGGAGGGGGGCTATAAATAGCCCACCCCCCAGTGTGGGGCGCGGGTTAATCTGTGCTGAGGGCAACGCTTCTCTATGGTGAGGGGGAGGGCCGTGGGGGATGCTCGGAGTACCATGAATATACATAGGTATCTGATACATTTATTTGAGTGAGGACTGGGGCGAACCCAGGATTTTTTTACGGCCAGTGGCCAATGGCTTGAGGCGCCATATTTTCCACCTAACGGGCGCCAAAATATATGAATGCCCCCTAGCCGAAAGCACGGCCGAAAGGAGGGAGGGGTACAGACGAGAGAAGCGCGCGCTTGGGGTAGCGCATGAAGATGGGAGTGAATGCGGTTAGGTGTACAGCCCTCTGCAAACTGCGTGGTAGGTATTCTTTCTTCGACAAAACCGAGAATAACGCGGATACTATGCTATCGGTCGCTCGGAAATCATAACAGCAAGGTGCGCGAGACTCCGCACCTTAGATTGGCATTACCATCGCATTCATTTTCCATCCAGTTTGGCAACAAAACCCGAAAGTTTATATTTGCCCCCAAAACAAACTTTTGCATTTTGTTGCCACACAAGGCATATACTTTGTTTAGTGATATACCTAATCGAAGGAGTAGAGCATGGCGCCTCTATTTTCAGTGAGTTCCGACCGACTGACAACATAGTCTTTGAGCTATTACTGGTTTTGTCGAAAAAAGAATACCTACCACGCAGTCTGCTGAGGACTGTACATACATCCGATGTAGCCTTTGGCAGGCAACTGCACAGAACCATCTCGCTGAACATGCACATTGCACAGTGCACAGACACGACCGGAACATGCAAGAACTAGGCCAGCAAACTCTGTCTTTAAAAAAACACACACACACACAAACACACACACATACACACATTCCTTTTCAGGCGATATAATTTGTTTACTAGAAGAGATACAGTCAGTCAACAAAACGCATCTCGCACAAATAGCTTCACCTATTCAACCCATTCATAGATAGAGTCCCGATGGCGTTCGATGCGCACGAAACTGGCACCCTGCACTTTCATTCTTGTTGTCCGAGTTACGGTTTGACTCGGCTAAACGGCAGTATCAACGCTAACATCGGTATGTAACCCTTCCGTACCATGAGACGGAATCAACCACCGTCGAGCTACTGACCTGGCTTGTCGCCGCAGGCGCTGAGACGAGTCGGGCTGGCGCGGCCGCTGGCCGTCGAGTCGGGAGACGAGGCTCGCTCCTCGGCCGGCGGGGCGGCCAGCCGCAGCAGCGCCGGCCGCCGCGCCAGGATGTCGCCGATCATGAACGAGGCGCGCGGCCGGGTGCTCAGGTTGAGGCCGACCGGGCCCGGCGCGCAGCACTCGGACGCCGCCGCGTCCTCCGTGGCGTCCGGCTCCGCAGCCATGGCGCTCCCCGTGGTAGGTACGGGCGTCCCGCGGCGACTGACGGCCGAGCCGCCCCCGAGCCGCCGCGCCGCGCGCCGCCACTTGTCCGACGATGACAAAAGCGCCGCTCCAGGCAATTTAGCGTAATCAAACAGAATGTTATGCCAATCGCTGGCGGCTGCCGGGGGGCGGCGCTTACAGCCATATAGCACTCATCGGTGGCGGCGACCAATGAGCGGCGGCCGCGGCGCGGCGCGGCGGGCGGCGTCGCTCCGCCACCGACGCCTTGTTTACATACGGCGGCCGGCGGCCTGCGTGCGGGCGCGGAGGGGCGCAGCCGGCAGCTGCGACCCGGCGGCCGCGGGCGTGGCACCGCGCACAGCTCCGGCGAGACACAACCTCTTTCCTCTGACCATCATGACACGCCCGGTCCAATGGGAGCGACGGTGACCACGGCCAGTGTAATCCGCTTCTTTCGTTCTTTTTTCAATGTTGCACTTTCCGGATGGTCGCTTGATTTCATATCCTGGGTACAGGAAGGACCGCGTATACGATCATTGTTTGATATCAGTATGACTACACACACAGAAAAATATTGACACCGTTAGCGGTGTAATTGCACAGTACATATCTGAGCACTTGAGGAAAGTTAATTTAGTCCCTTCCCCGCTTAAATTACTCGCGCTTCTAAATGAACACCAGGAAGAAGGTAATAGAACACTGTTAGGAGGGTTGGGTGTTTTACTACATGTAGCAAAACACCCAACCCTCCTTTACTACATGTAGCAAAACACCCAACCCTCCTAACAGTGTTCTATTACCTTCTTCCTGGTGTTCATTTAGAAGCGCGAGTAATTTAAGCGGGGAAGGGACTAAATTAACTTTCCTCAAGTGCTCAGATATGTACTGTGCAATTACACCGCTAACGGTGTCAATATTTTTCTGTGTGCAGGAAACTTACCCTCCAAGTATGTCACTGTCTGACTGAAGCGAGAAAATGTAGGCCAAAGGCTATAGTTCAAACAAGAAATCGAGCATACTTAGCGCAAGATGTAACAGCGAAACAAGCTCAAGGCAGATGATCCATGCCTCTGAACAAGACATCCATCGGGAGATTTATTTACCTATAATAAAAAAACTAAGCGAGGAGTAAAATCTAGAAAAGGATGTGAAAACTGATACGAAGGCGATCAGTTCGCACCGCTTGCTGGACCATGAGCGCCTCCACAGCTTGCGCATGTTATATTGCACCACCCGTCACATATCGCATAGGTACATACCTACTTCGGCCACACCGATATTCGATCGATGATGAAAGCGCCGCCAACCATGGTAAACGGATTGTAATTCTTCCGGGACGTAATGTCGAAAAGCGTGCCGCAGACAGGAGGCAAAAGAGACACTGGAAGAGACCCGGAGAGACCTGCAGGCAGGATACGATTAAAAAATCGGAGACCCTGGCAAGATAGTCGTATAGAACGAGATCGCGCTCGGTCACCGAAAAAAAAAAAATCATTCGGGCCAACCGGTCGCCTGGAAAAATGCTGGGTAATCGGACTGTATGATATAGAAAACAAAGCGGGCATACTCGACTACGCCCTAAACCGCAGCAGAGCCCATGGCCTGTCCCGCATCGGCATCGTATCCAAGGCCAAGAGTTCTATAGCGTTGGGTCATTGGGTCGAGGTGGGAAGTGAGGTGCGTACCGATAAGCACAGAAGCTGCGCCTCCCTCACAGTAGCTGGATATATCCACAGAACCGTGAACCATTCACAGACACGCCTCGCACCGGGCGGCACACATACCAACCACATCGAATCGCATTTCCCGAGAGTGACCTGAGAAAGAAGAACATCAAAGCCGTGGATTTCATTACATCTTGACTACAATAGTTCATGTGGCGAGGGTGCCACAGGCCTCAATGATGTGGCCAGCTTGTCGCCAGACTTCATCACCGCCCGCCGGCGCCAGTTCTGAGCTTGGTGAGTACCTATAGCCTAACCTAGCCCAGTATCCCCCCAGCCTAACTAACCTAAACCTTCTGATTTTTGCCTACCAGGGATAAGGAAACTGTAGCTCCCAGGAGCAGAATGGAAGCAGTTATAGTAAATGAAATATTTTAGATAAGTGGTTATAAAGATAGATACACAACCACTACCCCTGAAATATTTGATTTTTTCTGGTCTGCCGTTTGAAAAGGTGAATTTAACATGGAAACCCAACGGGATAGGAGCTTTTGAGCTATTTTGGTCTGAGTGCTACCAACTGTTACTGGCTTCTTAAGTAATGTTAGTAGTTACATGACCCTTTTCAGCGCGATGGCGCGCGACCCCATTCAGCGCGAGCGTAGTATAGGGCTATATGTACATATATTCGTGTATCGACGGATCGCATCCAGGAAACGCCGTGTAGTTTCAGCAGAGTTTCATTGATGTAGACTGTTAAATGTTTGTGGTATCATGAATGTGAAGCAATTCATTTATATTTAAGTTTTAACTGCTCGTCGCCCTGTCCCTAGCTGTTCCCAGAGAAATTGAAAAACAATGTTACACGCCCGGGATCCCTGCGTAGTGCGTATATACCGTATCTGCTGTTATTGACACGATAACCCTCGCGGGCCCGGGGGGGGGGGGCGTTTTTCGCCCCCCCCTGGCGAATATTTGCGATAACTCCCGAACGCTTAGGGATAGGAAGGCGAAACTTTCAGTACCTTTTCTCTCATCAATTTGACATCTTCTGAAGTAAAAAATTTGGACCTAGCCCCCTTGATGACGTCACAAGGTCCATTTTTCTAGACCCCTGCACGGCAAACTTCGGCGTCACAGACGCAAACTTCAAATAGCTGCTAAAAATAGAGTTTTAGAGATAAAGACAAATTACGAGCACGGCTGTGTAGCGTTTGACCTAGAGAAAAATAGAAAAATAGTTTTGGTGACCTGAGGTCAGAGGTCAGGTCAACGACCCCGAAATGTGGTTTTAGTTTCTCGCAAATAACTTCGACAAAAATGGTCCTAGAGCTACGGCAGTGATACCATCGCATTCGCCTTGTCAAGCCGCGTCGAATGATATATATTTTGTTCGGAAAAGGTCAAGTTTCATGTTGACCTCATGTGACCTCGAATGACCTCTGGTTGACCTTGACACATGAAAGGTCGTTTGTGATGGATTTGTACCCGCTGATCACGAATCTGGCATCTATTTTCCTCTAAGCCTTCATTTAGAGCTTCCGGATGGCAAAATTGTCTTATTTATTATTACTAACTTGAATCAGTGAAATAGCCTCTAGCAGGGATAGGGGAAGCGGGGGTAGCACCGCCATGTGGGAAACACCGCCATCCTCTCTATCGGCAAAACTCTGAATTGCAAATGTAAACACCCCCATTTCGGTGTCCGAACGGAAACGGGACGCCGCGTGAGGTAGGTTTCGCTAAGATTTATTTGATTTTGAGATCGCAATTGCCCATTTTGTGAATTTCAAGCCATCGTTGTAATCATTTGGCATGTTTTAGCAGCAAGTAAGTGGTCATTTCAAGTCAAAATGCCTTGATTTTTACGTTAAATTTGAGGGCACGAAGTGCTCTTCGTTGAGAAAGGAATTACAGAAGAATCGCGTCCCGGCTTGTTTTCCCGTCGGGGCGTTGTCGGTCCATGACTGTGTGTGGGGTAACACCGTCATGCTCGGCGGTGCTACCCCAAGGGGTGGCAAAATGGATAAAGCCGCAATGATGATTCACTCAGCTCGGAGAAGAGCTTTAGTCAGGCCGCAAACGTCGTCTGTTTTTTAACCTCACGTTTGACTTCACTGGATGTTTCGAAATAAACGTGAATTTGTCATGCTTTGTATGCATATTGTCCGCAACAAACAGTCTGATCTGTGACAAACTAACAACCAACTCTTGTGTGTCTTATATGAGTTTGAGTTACTATTTCAGACAGCAGTAACGCTTCCAAGGGTGGCTGTCACCGTAAGGCCGATCTGTGGACAACATCGCCATCAGTGGCGGTGCTACCCGCACATTTTTTGGAGGACGGAAAATGCAGGACTTGTTTTCAATGTCTGTAAAGTAGCGAAATTTTATAATGGAGCGCTGGAAACTATGCCAACATGTAGGAAAACATTCCTACTTTCACATGAATGCAAAAGAGCTTCGTTTTTACTACGCATATCAGCTCGGTGAGCAGAAATGCTTAAGGTGGCGGTGCTCCCCCCGCTTCCCCTACTCTTCTGTGACCTTGACCTTTGAGCAGCCTTGTATCGTAAGATGAACCACAAATAGGGAACTGATAAGCCTCAAAACATTTCAAAACATCTTGGAAGTTAGCGCGCAAGATGTGCGAAAAAGTGCCAAGTTTGAGGTCAATTTTGAGCGTGACCTTGATCTTGACCTTTGATTTAGAGCACATTTTCAGAATCCTCAGATTCTCTGCTTTCGTTTGACACCCAATTTTGCCGGTTTGATGCAGCCTGCCGTCCTCTAGAAGGCTTACTTTGAGATCACTACACATGTGCCGGTTTTGGCCTTTGACTTTGACCTCTGACCTTGAAAATTGACCTGAGGTCAAAAATTTTAGGTGCATTAGAATCGTCTCGTAAGGACCTTTCGTTTGGTATCGCTTTTGTTTCCGTAGCTCCCTTATTTACGGAGTTAGACAGGGGGGCGAAAAACGCCCCCCCCGGGCTGCGGTGGTTGGGATTACCCCCCGGGCCCGGCCGGGATAATGAAGCACGCATGTAACTGGCATGCGACAAGCTTCTGGCGGATTTAATTATGAGACTATGCGTAGTTTTCCGACACAGCGCGAAATCTGTTAATAAGCAGGAAGGGGTAGTAGGGAAGCATTTAAGTTATTAGGTTACCGTTTGTAACCCATTGTTTTACGAGGGCACTCTTTAACTAGCAACGCTCCGGCTGTTGATGTCCCTATATATAACAGCAAGGTACAATGGACGATCGTGTAACCCACTCCTTGTCATAGAATTGGCTCGTGACATTTTTTTACAGTGTACCATATTCTAGTTTGAACTTAAAATTTGCTTATCCCGACTATAGGCTTTTAAGCCGTTATACTAGAAATTCCTCCCAAAGTTCTTCCTACATTTTATTCGCCATGCCCTGGTCGGTACACCCTCATCCAGATCCTATTATATCGGCCTTGATCCAGATGATGGCTCGCCCAGCAGGACGACGGCACGTTTTCCCTCGTGCGCGCGGTGGGATGTCCAATTATTTTCCTTATTCAATGATATATGGCCTTGATTCAATGAAGAAACACTTCAAATTTCTCTTACTAGCAGCACTAGCAGCAGCTCGCTTTCAAATTTAATTGACGGTTACTTTTGTGTCGTGAATAGATATGTGGGTTCATCAAATTGGCTCCCGCTGGACATATTGGTTTTCTTCATGCGTCCCGGCCGAGGGGAAGGGGCCGGGACGGGTGTGATGTTGGTGGCGGGTGTGACCCCCCTTTGCCGTCCGCCTCTAATTGAGCTAGAACCTCGCGGGGAAAAAAGGAGCGTGTGCGCTATTATGAGATGCGGGGAATGGTACACAAGTTTAAAGTCTCTGGTAAATCGATGAACTCGGTGGTCAGGTCAACCCGTCACCGTGCCCCGTAGGGCTATCGGCGGACCCCACCACCCGTAGAGCGGGAGGGGGGGGGGGGGCGTTTCGGCCTCCCCCCTAAGATTTCGGAAAGTTACCGGCCGATTTTCAAAATACAAAAGGCGTTGGATAGCCCCACCAAGGAGCTACCCTTTGACCCAATTTTATTGACCTAGGTCCAACTGATGACGTCACAGGTCAGGTCAAAGGTCGAATTTCCACCGTTTACAGGCATCTCAAGAAATGTGTGGCAAAATCGAGTAAAAGGCAGGCTTTGATTTAGAATTGTCCGTCAAACACATATTTTGCTATTCGAGGTCACAGATACCACATCAGGTCACTGAGGGTCACAATACGAAAGTATCGTGTGATGCATGTTTTATGATCCATTTCACACGATTATGTGGGTCAGACAACCTTTGGAGCTAGTTTAGGTTATGTTCTGGTGAAGGTCAGGTCAAGGTCAGGTGAAATTAGGTCAACTTTCGAAGTTGATATTTTTGCATAACATGGGTATCGATTCGATGCAGCTCGTCACAGGTAGTCTAATGGTGGTCTTAAAGGTAGACTGCCACCTTTTTTCCACAAAACGGTTTTCACTAGAGCTGAGCCACCTATGTCCCAGACTGAAGTCGGTTTTCCGAAATTCGAACCCGTTTGCGAGAAATCGGAGACCAAAGTTCAGTTTGATGCCATTTTTTTAGTCCAAGAAAACCGACATCTCTACTGTTTATCGATAACTTTGAAACACGAATTTTCTTATCTTTTGGTAAATATATGTCAAAACTTTGATTGTTTCGAGATCAGAGAAGAATTTTGGAGTGTCAAAATAAAAGTTAAACCTATATATTCAGTAGTTCATTTTTTCCAAAAAAGTGTGGGAAATGGGGTTTAACATGGGCGGCAGACCCATTCCAAATGAGCCATGATTTTTAAATGTTTTACGAACTTAAATGCAAAATAAATTAAACATGGCCAATTTCTTATGAAATCATATAGTAGTAAATCATAAAATACCTTACTTTTTCAAATAAAATGTAATAATCTTATGACCTTGAAGTCTAGTGATGTGTAAACATTGTCGCTAGACATTAACCGATTGATAATTGTATGATAATCGACAATTTTTTTCGCGATTCACGTGATGATACTTTGTCAGGTGAATTCTAAAATTTTGTTTTGTCCAGGGAATAAATCATAGGCCGATCTGAGAAAACTTTTTGAAGGTGGCAGTCTTCCTTTAATGGTGGTCTTTGTTTTGCGCTACGTGGTCTAGAGTTGCTAAAAATTGTTTGAATATTTGACGTCATCAATTTTGAAATGTTTTCGCTATAACTTGGCCAAAAAAGAGGTATCGATATCAAATTTTGTAGGTATGTGGATAGAAGACCGTAACTCCTATCATATATTCTCCATTTTTTGAAATTCGAACAAAACTTGGGGTTTTTGGGCTATTATGTCC